AAAAATTATATATTTCATAACTTAAATATCAAGATATCATTTATGTAAAAATTACATTCTAAATAATACAAAATAATTACAGAACATTATAATACACATGATATATTTATTTATCATATAAATGTTTTAAAACATAGTTAGAGTGCATACATTGTGTTTTGAAAAATGTAAAACATTGTTATTATGAAGAAATCATCACATAGGACATATTTAGAGAGTTCAAGAAGTGTTGCTGCTGAAATATCCCCGAAGTGTCTATAAAGTGTCTAATATTATGAATATGATTTTTAATCAAGACACGTAGTAGTGCTAGACATGTTTTTAAAAGTGTCCGATGAGTGTCAATGTTCGACATAAATGTCCAACATGACACGTTTTCTTTTTGAAAGTGTCCGTGCTTCTTAGGTTGGTTCATTATTCTTACACATATTACTTATTGTTATTACTTGCTTTGTCCCATCTTTGGCATGCTTGGGAACGTTGTGAGCATTCGTTCCATTTCTTTGTGAGATGGCCAAACCCTTGGATCAACCTCCCTTGGAAGATGAACAATAGTGCCTGCACCCACAATACATAGTATGGCAGGGCCAACCTTGAGTTGTTTAGGGCTCTAGGCGAAATTTTAAAAATGAGGCCCTTTATAGACTTAAAAAACATTACCATCTATTCAAAAAATTTATCCCAAAAAATATCATGCAAAGATGGTGTATAATATAGATTTGAACTTGGTATGATGCTTCTATGTAAATTTTCTAGATATGTAGTGTTATTGTACACATAATTACCAAATATATATATATAATTGGAAATATTGTTAGTACCCACACAAACTATGTTTGCATATATAATCACTAAAATTTGCTTATACAAATTTAGACATGAAGAAAATCATTACAAAGCTCAAAAAGATAAAAATTGGGCCTCTATTTTTGGACCTACTAATAATAAAAGAGTTAATTTTTTGGACCTTTAGTTTGGATTGTTAATGTATATTAGTTGGATTGGGCTTTTATTTTTGGACTTACCAATACAATAAGAATTAAAAAAAATTTGGGGCCCCTCAAAATTTGACAAAATATGGGGGACTTAGGCAATTGCCTTCTTCGTCTTGGACCAGGGCTGGCCCTATAGTGTGGACAACCCGTTAATTTGAGTGGCTTTTCTTGCACTTTCCTTAACTGTCCTTGCAAGTTCATCTTTCTTATTGTGATGCTTAAAATTTTATTGTGTCTATTGCTCTAAAACTTTTGTGGTGTATATAGTGTGAATAGGAAAATATGAATAACAGCTTATCAAAAATAAATAAATAATGAATAACGTATGTCTTTATAAGGGAAGAATTTGGAATGTGATATAGAGAATCTACTACATTGTAAAATTTGGTCAAATCAATCTTGCAAAAGATTATGGCAATTTGGTTGTTTAATTTAAGATTTTACAATTAATTTTCATTGTATATGGTAGGATGACAACCAATCAAGATCCTTCTTATAATTCAGAAAAAATAAATGAAAATTTTGTTGCATTGTGGATTGTTGTTTGTTGAATTGTGGATCAGATTGTTTATCTTTTCATATTTCTTAGAAAGTATTTGTATAGATGTGAAAAAAGAAGAAAAAAAGGAATAAATATTTCAATCTCAAGTAAGTGCTCTTGGTTTAATTTTGCAGCTAAAAATGCAATAAGCGTAATGCTTAAGTGATACTGTGGTGTAGTTGGTTTAATTTTTTCTTTCAGGTCTTGTTTAGAGATTGATTTTTTTGTTTGCAAACCCTGGGAAGCTGCATAATGAATTTTTTAAAACATGGCAACTATTTGAGTAATTTTATTGCCCAGGAGTTGATAAATTTTGCACCTAAGGTTTATGAAGTGATGTTCTTTATTGTTCAAAACCAGAAGTGATGGACTGAATAAATTTTGCACCTTAGAGGAAGTCTGCGATCTGATCAAAACCAGAATTGCTTTGTGGATTAAATATAATTCTAGGTTGTTGCATTATTCAGTCCATGATATGGTTGAGAATCTGGATCAGGTTCGCAGGTGTGTGGGGGGTAGGTGATTGTGTCCTTGCTTGCTGGGTGGAATTTCATTATGGTCAGGGATTGAATTGGTTGATATGCTCAAGACGTAATTAAGGTGAAAATCTGAATTAATTACATATGTATTGCATTATTTGTGTTTATATTTGTCTACTGTAAGAATATTTATTTGAGTTTCTGTTTTGTTTTGCGAATTGAAGGCGTTTTTGGCATCTGATCACAGAATTGATTTGAATTATGTGTTATTTGGGATTTTTAGAATTTTATGGTAGGTTTGATGAAAATTTGATTCGGAACCAAATAATTAGAATTAATAATGCAACTTAGTTAACTTAAGTTTAGGTTGATTAAGCTCCACTAAGTAACCTATATAAGGCCAATGTAATTCTTAAACCCACTTATTCATCACTTTATCTTCATTCTTGAGACTCCAAACGAGAGAGAGAGAGAGAGAGAGAGAGAGAGAGAGAGAGAGAAAAGAGGAGAGGTGAAAACAAGCTATGAATTGCTAGGGAAATTGAAAGAACTTGGTGGTATTGAGCAAGACTTGCTAGAATTCAAGGGAATTAAGGAATCTAAGGTAAGAATTCAACCCTTAGCTATATAATTGAACCAACTAAGGCATAGATTCAAGGGGTTTAAGTGTTTAACATGAGAATTGAGCTAAAAATGAAGGAATGTCAGCCATACCATGCATGCATGCATAATTCATGGAGTTTGGGTTTTGATTACAACAAATTCTTAAATGCAAAGACCTATTTTTGTTTAATTATGGGAGCTCAGTGTGGTTTTTCACTTTAACACTTCATTTGTACATGATTTGGAAGGTTAGAGTTCATACCAATACATGCATGATGTGTATACATATAATTAAAGTTTGATTTTGAATAATTGGCATGCTTTATTGGAAAATTAAATTGTTGTTTCAAGACTAAACTATTTTGATAAATTATTGTATTATCAATGGAATTAAACTATTTCTGAAACATGTGTAAACTTGGCATACTGTAAACTATTTGTTTTGGTCTCATATTTATATTGGTGAACTACCATGTTTTGTGAAACTAAATTGTATTGATTATCGGGACCATCTGTATATTTTAGTCTAGGGAAATTATTTTGTGCTTGAAAGTGACCCTAGCTACTAGGGAGCATATCTGGGTTAGGCTATGATGACTCTAGTGCGTAACGATTGTAAGGAAAAGACCTAGGCTAAGCTAGGTGACCTTCGATTGGATCGTTTTAGAGAAAAGGCCCGGGTTGCCACCCTAAGGATGACTCTTGGTTCGATATTGGATCCAACGGGCTTATTGCCTTGAAAACTGTGTGGCATGTTACTTGTTACTCTTGGTACCTAGAAAATTATTGGTGCTCATGTTATAATCTGTTTTAAGTGAAAAATGTCATTTATCATGTTCTTGAGAGACATGAGTATTTTAACTGTTGAACTGTGTAACCTTCTTTTTGAAACAGATTATCTTTATCAAAAGTGTATGCCAATCTAGTTTCTGTGATATATATTATATTTTGAAATTGAACCATGTTTTTTATGTTTCAAGCTGTCTGTATTTAATTAGGCTGCTAGATTGGGTTGTATGTTAGATTTAGGCTTGGTTAGTCTTTACATAGGTGTGGTTGTTTCTAGGTGGTTGTGGTTCGTTTCTCACCAACTCTTGATAGTGTGCTGCATATGATTGGATGGTCTTATTAGTGCCAACCTAGTTGGGATTGATTTGGCTCGCTATGATACTTTTGCACTCATCCTCCTTTTCCTGTATTATTGTTTTAGCTTTCTTCTTCATCTATAAAGTTCTTTTTCTTTACTGATCAAAAAAAGAAAAAAGAAGTGATGTTCTTTATTAAATGTGTTCTTTCTTTTATGAAGTGATGTTCTTTTTCATTAAATTTTGCACCTCGCTGTAATTAAATATCACTAATTAAAAAAAGTGATGTTCTTTTATGTAGTGTCTGAACCCTGGTTATTTTAGTTAGGTTTTAGTTTGATGAGAATATTTAGCACTGGTACTGGAGAGGGGCTATTCTTAAGGAGTTCTAAGTGGAATTTCTAGATTTCTCTCTATCTTCTTAATCTTTTCACAAAACTAAGGTTACTGTTTGCAGATCTAGAATGGTACCAATCTCAGCCATGAAGCCTTACTTAATCAAGCCTAAATCATCCAGAGAATTCCAGCAGCTAATTCCTGAAATCCTGTCACCATACATATTGTAAACCATGCCAAATTCCTTCTTTTCAATCTAGAAAATTGGAAGATTTCTTATACTTGTTCTAGAAACTTAGCTTTAGAAGCCTTCTTAGGCTTAGACCAACCACAAATCTATTGTAGGTATCATTATGCCAAGTTTATTATGGTTGACGTACATTACTAGTGAGTCTATGCAAGCCTAATGCTTTCGTATATGTTTTGCACTCTGCTCCATGTCTTTCCTTCTTTGACAAATATGAAATGTTAATTCTGTATTGGAAGTGAGTCTATGCAAGCCTAAATTGGAAGATTTCTTATCCTTTTTATTTTTATTTTATTTTTGAAAATTTTATGTGGCTTTGTACACTTGAATTTGAGACAAGGCGTGCTTCATATTATTGGTTATTGGATGCATTGAACCTTTACTAGCCTTATGTATGGGAATACTCACGATTGAATGTAACTAAAACAGTGATGTCAAAATGCAAGGTGAGCTGAATTGTTGAACATCTATTTGTTTATGCTATGTTTGGATCATAGATTTTGGTAGAGATTTGGGAAAAAAAAGGAAAAGGTGAGATAAATTTGAATGAAATATAAGCTAAATCTTTTCCGCATTTCCTTTTTCTTTCCAAATTCCTACTCAAATTCATGATCCAAATAGCCTTAAAGAATTGTTGGAAGTATTTTTGTACCCATGCACTCTAGTATTTTATTCCATACACTTGGTTGACCATGGTATGCTATTACAGTTAAACCGTCTTGTGAAGGAAAAGCGGGTTGATGGTTGGGATGATCCCCGTTTGATGACATTATCTGGTTTGCGACGTAGAGGTGTTACTTCAACTTCAATTAATGCTTTTGTTCGAGGAATTGGAAGTACTAGAAGGTTGGCTTATATATATATATATATATAATAATGTTTGGCCATGGATCAAAACCTATAATTTTTTTGCTGACACCAATATACCTGGTATTGCAGTGATTCTAGTATGATAAATGTTGACCGCCTTGAGTACCACATAAGAGAGGAACTAAACAAAACAGCACCTCGTACCATGGTGGTTCTACATGCACTCAAGGTCTGTCTCTTGTTCCAATGCTTTTTCAGGTGTCAATTCTGTTGTGTTCAACTAATTGTTTCTGTTTTTCAGTTGGTTATTACCAACTTAGAAGCTGGCTCAGTAATGGATCTCAATGCAAAGAAATGGCCTGACGCTTCACTAGATGATGCATCTTCTTATTATAAGGTGACTTGTGGCAATTTAAATAATGACATTGATTTTTAAAGACGTACTTCTATGTGAGTGTTAAAGCATGAATTTCAGTTGTCATGAAAATTTTCTATTCAGTTCTATAACAACCTATACCCACACCCCCCCCCCCCCCCCCAAAAAAAAAAAAAAAGAAAAAGAAAAAAAAAGGGTTCTATAAAACAGATATTGGAACAAGTGTTAGATTAGATGTCTTGATTTTTGACAGATTTTCTCATTTATGCTTCTATTATAGGCCCCTTTTTCCAATGTTGTATACATTGAGAACTCTGATTTTCGGATGAAAGATTCTAAAGATTACTATGGGCTTGCCCCTGGCAAGTCAGTCCTATTGAGGTGTGTATAGATTTTAATTTTATATTTACTGATCCATCTAGGCAGATGGGAGTGCTCAGTATTGAGACTTTTGTTTGTCTCCAGATACGCATTTCCTATAAAGTGCACAGATGTAATTCTTGGTGATGATAAAGAGACTGTTCTTGAGATCCGGGCAGAGTATGATCCTTCCAAAAAGACAAACCAAAGGTTGTTTGTCGCCCTAGAATTGGGTGTTTATTTTATGTGAATGGTTTTACTAGGGTTGCAAAATATTGCAAGGTAGATTCTTTACAAGTTTTTTTTCATTATGTAGGGGGTTCTTCATTGGGTTTCGGAACATTCTCCTGGGGTTTCGGAACAGTCTCCTGGGGTTCAGTCTTGCTTTTGGGTTCTCCCCCCTTGTGTAGCAAGTTTTCAAGGGTATAGGAACGGAGTATAGTACCAGAGAGAAATCAATGGGTTGATATTGATTATGGAACTTAGTGATGGTTTGCTGCTTTGCTCTGTTTTTTATCTTCTATTTTTTCTCCTTGTACATCTTCGTATTGGTGTCTAGAAATTCCAAAATGGTATTTTGGGAAACTATTAATAATTTTAAAATACAAAACACAATTTGTTCCAACCCTAAGCTTTAAAAAGTCTTAAACACCAAGAACGATAAGCTACAGCTGGCTTTAGCCCACCAAAAAAGCAATTGTAGGCAGTGTTATTCAGAACATATGATAAAATTACCTGCTCAAACTTAATAAAGCATTGGAACCCTTGAAAATGCAATTTTTAGCAAATTCACGATGCTATTTTAATATTGTTTCTCAAACTTGTTAAGCATTCCTCTAAACTTTTATGTAGTTAATATTGTTCAATATTGTTTCTGCTGTGTGGCACTATATTGGATCTGAAATGGTGGCTGATCCAATTTATTCTATAGACATAAGAATGCTATTGTTTTATTTACAATTTGATAATGATAGTCATTTAATTTGCTAATGTGAGCTTTGTTTTTCATGGACATTTTTCATTATTTGTCCAATTTTATTTGACATTATTTCTCTTTTTCTTTGGTACAGATGGATGAACTCGTGCACAAAGCTAAATTGTACGGGACGAATTGGCACTTTTTGCATTTTTGGAAGGATTATATATTTTTATATAGATGTATATGGAAAATATTAAGGTAGACTGTAGTTATATTTTTGGATACACTAGTAGTTATATTTTTGGATGGGTGTGTATAGAAAATATTTGGTAGACTACTAGTTATATTTTTGGGTTGATGCAGATGGATAAAAATTTAAAACATAATAACAAGTACTTGTTATGTTTTAAATTTTTATGCTAGATGAAATATGTAGTTTGGAATTACTTGTGGATGAAAACTTATAATAGTTGCCGACTTTAATTAAACAGGTTCAAAAATGGTTGATATATATATTTTGTTGAATGTTCATGATTCAATTTATTTGTTGGTTTGAATGATTTTTGCAAATTACAGATTATATTGAATAAATTGGATAGATTATTATAAATTATAAGTTTATTTTGTTGGATGTTGGCGACCAAAATTTGGTTTTGTTTTTTTAGTTTTGGTGACCAATTGATTAGTCACCAAAAATACAAGTTATACTTTCGCCGACTAAATAAAGTAGTCGGTGTATCACCAAGCACATTTGGTGACTAAATAATTAGTCGTTAAAATTATTAATTTTGGCAACTAAAGGATTTTGTCGCGAATAGGTCTATTGCTGACTAAAGTTTTAGTTGCGCAAACATTTCTTTTGGCGACAAACATGTTTGGTCGTGGAATGTGACAATTGGCGACTAATTATTTTGGTCGTGGAATGTGACAATTGGTGACCAAACTAAGAGGTCATAGAATGTCACAATTGGCGACCAAACTTTTTGATCGTTGAATGTGATAATTGGCGACCAAATTTTTTGGTCGTGGAATGTGACAGTTAGCGACTAAGATATATGGTTGGCAAAATATCACTTTTCGCGACCAAAATCTTTTAGCGACAAAATGTATTAGTCGCAGTAATGATATATTTAGCAACCAAAAATTTAGTCGGCAAATCCAACTTTTCCCGACCAATCAAAATTTTAGTCGCGAATTACTTCTGCCGACCCTCAATTGACGACCACAGTTGCAACCAAAAAAATTGGTCGCAGATAACTTTTACCGACTAAAAATGGACTTTTAGCGACCAATTTTTTGGTCGGCAAAAGTATTAATTCTTGTAGTGAACGAGCTGAGCTTATTAAGTTTGAACTCGATAAGTATGGCTCAAACTTATTTATTTACCTAACGAATTGAGGCGAATCAAACTTGTCAATAGTTTGATTCATTTGTTAACCAAACAAAAAAAAAAAAATGTAACTTCTCTGTACCAAATCAACATGAAGTCAAAAAAATATACAATCTTAAAATTTTTATCATGAAATGTAGCCAAATAGAGGATGTATATAGTCTAGATTATAACTTCATATGTTGTGGACTACATTTATAATGAATTTAATTCACATAATTCAAATACTGAGTAATTTTTTATTTTGTTTTTATTTTTTTTAACATGTAAATTTTATTAATAAGAATTTGTCAAATTTGCACTTCATTTTTTTTGGTAAATTACACTAATCTTTCCTAAGATTTGAAAAAAGTATAATAAACTTTATAATTTTGAGAGAATTTTATTGGACTTCTTAAAATTTTAATTCACATCACACTTTAACCTCCATTTTCATCAGTAATTTGGTAGTTATACGGATGAAAAAAATATTATTATCTGTTGGGTTTTAGTTTTCTGAATTCAGTTTTTTGAAATTTGAGTTTTTATTTTTCGTGTTTTTTTTGTTTTTAGTGAATATTTTTTAAATTTTAAATAATTTTTTTACTTTTTTAGGTGCACATTATTTAGATGTATTTAAATAGTGAAATATTTGTGAACAAATATTTTAAAAAATTAATAAATACACAAAAATATGAAAAATGTATTGATTTTTTTTTTTGTATTTTGGTATTTAGTGTATTTTTTAAATATTTTTTTTCACAAATATTGTACTTTTTAAGTGTATTTATGTTAGGTGTGTCTAAAAATTAAAAAAAATTTGCTTAAAATATTAAAAAAATTCATTGAAAACATTAAAATACGTAAAATAAAAAAGTAGAATTTTTGAAAACTATTTTCTGAAGACTAAAACCAAACAAGCTCAATACATTAAAATATATATTCTACCTTATTTATCTTTATGTCTTTATATTATCTGCATTAGTTCCAATTTTTTTAATTTTATTAAAAGGAAAGTCAATATATCAGCATAGTAAATCTTATTAGTATATTTTTGGATTGGTCTGGGAACCCAAAAAATAAGTATCAGAATTTACCTAGAATGCAGATGAATGGTAGAGATTAGATGAGTGTATTGTGGGGTCAATATGTAAAATGAATATGAACAATATGTTGAAAATTCTAGATAAAATTTGGCCATAAATTTATGAGTTTGTAGCCTGACTCTATATTTTTTTTCAAAGCTCACGAGAGATCAATAATTTAACATTTTTATATATTTTCTTAGAAATATACACCTCATAATTATAAAAGAAAATTATATAAGTTCATACTTTCTGAGTCTTAACTACAGGTGACCAATGGCCGGCTATAAGTAGGTATGGTAGGTCGGGTTATACATTTAAGGGTGTGTTTGATTGGGGGGATAAAAGGGGGGACTATTTACTGTGCCAATTGTAATCCGAGAGAAGCATCCAATCTAGCGTTTAATTTTTTTTTTAGTTCGCCGAACATGGAATCTGGCTGGACTCCTTATCCCCCATATGAGGGGGAGGGGTGTGGGACAATTTTCATGGGATTATTTACTGTTGGGATTAGGTGGTAAAATGACCATTTTGACTCTCTACTATTTAATTATGTATTATATTTAGTAAAATTCAATAAAATTTAAATGTCTCAATTTAAAAATAAAATAATTCTATTTAACTTTTTATTGATGTTTTATTTATTTAATTTTTTGAAATAATTTTTTATAGATATTTTATTGATGTTTTATTTCAAAATTTTGTTTATATTTTTTTTAATTTCATTATTTAAATTTTAATACATGTTTTATTTAATTTCATTACTTAATTATTATTATTTATTAAAATAAATTTATTTAAAATTTTAATTAAAAAATAACATATGTTTTTATTGATATTTAATTTATTTAATTTTTAAAAAAATAAATTTATTTAATTGTGCAAAAAATAAAATAAAATAAATTTTTATTCAATCTAACTAAAAATAATTAAAATATTAAAGATATGTTTAATATTGCTATTACTTAGTAAATAATTGAAAAGGATAAAATAGTCATTTGAGCATTTATCCTTCTCAATAATATCCCAAACAAACATTCG